TGTCCAAACATGTAGTGGGCAGGGGGGCAAGAAAACAAGTGTGCAGAGGGCCCTCGCCTCTCAGAAAGGGGGAAGGTATATGCATATCATCAGGGAGTGAGAGCGAGGAAGAGAAAGCGGATATGGGAGAAGGGGTTCGGGCCTCTGCCGAAGGAAGGGCCGAGAGATGCAAGTAGCATGAGCCTTGGCATGGGGAGAACGAGGGGAGGCATGACATGTGCGACGGACGCGAAGATGGGGAAGGGAGAAGGTAAAACCCGCGTGAAGAGCGGAGCGGCCACGACAGTTGTGAGGGGAGATACCCGGACTTTGAGGAAGGATATGGGAGGAGGATAGAGATCCCTTATAAGCTGGACCCAAAGAATTTCACGGGTGGGTTCAGCCCCGTACGGTTGGCAGAGGATGAGGACGAGGAGGAAGAAGTGCAAGAGGTGATAGAGATTAGCAGTGGCAATGAGAAGGATGAGATTTCAAGGCCCAGAGAAGAAAGGCGAACCCCTATGAACCGGCCGCGCGGAGAATCCTTCAGATGGGAAAAGGAGTTTGGGCCAACGCCCAGTCATTGGTTTGAGCAATGGCTCAGCGTAATCAAGCATGAATGGATCATCAAGACCAGGGAACTCATACAGGCGGGAGTGGCGGCCACACCCTTGGATTTTTACTGCGAAAAAAAATTGCGGGGAATTGCGAAGAAAAAAAGAGAAATCCTGGCCTCCGGCTTGAGAGTTAAAAAGACAGTAGAAAGACAGGATGGGCAAGGGACCGAGTGAGATGAGACACGTGACAGCAAGAGGGATTAGGTGTTGTCAGCATGAAATAAGAATTGTGTTTTTCTTTTGCAATATTGGAATGACAAAGTTTGGGTCGTGTGAGTCAGCTTGCTAGAAATGAGCAACATAAGGACTAGCTAGAACTATGTCACAGTTAGTTAGAAGATAACATTTTGAAGCTACTTCCTGGATGAGCTACCTTCGAAAGAATATATGCAAAACAATGACACGGGGCATGGGATGAGACAGGTTGGGATGGTTGTACTGTGGACCTGGATGGAATAAGGATTGTGCTCTTGAGAGGGAACCGTGAGTGCAGATTGACGAGCAAAGTGAGGCATTGAATGTTGGTCGAATATAAGAGAGGTCAGGGAACCTATGAGTAAAGGGGCGTGAAGAACACCCCTTCCCTAGGAGCCTAATCCAACTGAGTCATGAATGAGTCTGAAAATAGCCAAGAGCTGAGAGGCCAGAAAGAGTGAAAATAGAGGGGGTGTCCTTGTCCTTTGCTATGGTTGAACGGTCGGGTGGGCTAGTGTTGCTTGGGGTTGCGAGCCTCAACTCGACCACTAGACGCTAAGTCGGGTGTATGCATGAATAATAAATGATATTGGGAAAGGACAAAGGAAACCGCACGCATAAAACTGCAAAAGATGGCCACCCTCTAACCCCCGAGACAAAGATGGAATCCGTGTCCTCGAGGCCCACCCCCTCAGGCGCTAACATTGGAATGGATAAGGATGACCCTGACAAGGTCGTTCGATTGGAATGGATAAGGATGGCCCTAACAAGGCCGTTCGATTGGAATGGATAAGGATGACCCTGACAAGGCTGTCCGATTGGAACGGATAAGGACGGCCCTGACCAGGTCGTTCAATTGATAATGGAAAGAGTGATCCTAACCAGGTTGTTCGAAACGGCCCCTGACAAGGGTCATTCTTTGGAATAGATACTAGGATCCCCTTGCACGGCTGATTGAGAAAGGATGAGTGGAAGGATTTGGAATCTGCATTGAGGAATTGCTTGAGGATTGAGGATCGCATTGCATATCAGGGGACCCTAGGCAGATTGGAAAAGATATGAAAATTGCATCGGAAGATTTTGCTTTTCTTCTAGTCTCAGGCCTCAGCAGGAGGGGGATACCGGTGCATGCACCGCAACCCCATGACCTCTACCCGTCAAGGGAAAAGTCTCAGCGCGACCTATTCCTCACAAAGAAGGACAAGGGTTGAAAGACCAAGGCATCTTTCTCTTTGATCGGTGCTCGCCGTCCGGAACTAACTCCGACAACGAGCTCTAGTCGGGGAGTTCAAACTGCGCCTCATGTTGAGAACCTAAACGTCAAGGGCATGGATCCAAACGGGCATGAGAGTCATTCTTCTCCTAAGTCTCATTTGCTCTCCCCAACCACACGCCATACCGTAGAGGGGCGACGTGACCGTTTGGGATGGACCAAGGATGCTCGCAATAAGTTGAGCGGCACTGTCCAAAGAGAGGGGCTGGGCAGGGTACCGGGTGGAATCCGCATCCACCACAGGGCGAGTGACACCGCCCTGCCGGATTATTATAACCGTTCCGGGACTACCCACGAGGTCTTCGTAACTGCACTCGCAGACTAATAGAGAGCCCCAACTTTCTTGAAAGGAAGAGGCCGGATCCAAGAAAATACCACTTGGGAGGAACGATTCCAGAGGGGCCACTTGTGGTAGGATTGGGTCCTGGGAGGCGTGGACTGGACCCGCCTAACAGATGCGAGGGGACACCTCAATGATGATTCTCATCTCCAGAGAAGTGGCCGCCGGACAAGAGTACAGGATGAGGTGAGTTATCAGCGGGGGAGGACTGATCACCCTTTCTTTTTGAGGCTGATAGGCCGGCATCCGTCTACTTAGTTGGCAGGGCAAGGTCTGCGTACCTCCAAGTGAGAACCAGTCGTGCGATGGGGACATCACATTTTGAGTGGGGGGAAGGTGTGTCATCTATCGATGAAAAAGAGTGCAAAAAGATAAGGTTACCATGAGCTCGAGAAATGTATGCGTAATTGACTTTGTCTGGGTTTGAGAAAGGTCTGGTAAGATGTCCAGAAGAGAAATGTATGTGTAATTAACTTCGCGTGGGCTTGAGAAAGGCCTGACAAGATGTCCAGAAGAGAAAGGCATGTGTAATTGACTTTGCGTGGGCTTGAGAAAGGCTTGGCAATATGTCCAGAAGAGAAAGGCATGTGTAATTGACTTTGCGTGGGCTTGAGAAAGGCCTGGCTAGACGTCCAGAAGAGAAAGGCTTTGCGTGGGCTTGAGAAAGGCCTAGCAAGATGTCCAGAAGAAAGATGCATATGAAATGGACTGGGTAACAGGCATGTAAAATTGGTTGGGTGCAAGAAAAGTCGAATGAGGGACACATGCATGTGAAATAGGCAGGACTTGAGAAAAGCCGGGCAGAATGACCTGGAAGAAATACATGTGAATTTGGCTGAGCATGAGATTGAGGAAAGAATGACGGGAGACATGGATTGCGCGGGCCGAAGAGCTGAGTAAAAGAGGCACTGAGGGCGACAGAGGCCGGAAAAGGGACTTGGTTGACACAGGATGGAAGGAGGATCAGCCAAAGGGTGTTTGGGATGGCAAGGCTCGGGGGAGAAGCAGGGGCAGCAAGAGGAGGAAGACGAGAGGAGGCTTGATGTATTTCGGGTGATGAATGAGAAGATGGAAGTTGAGAAAAGGCTTGATGTACTTCGGACGATGAATGAAAGGAGGAAAGTGGAAAGAGAGTCTGACGTTCTAAGAGTGATGAACGAAACGAAAGGGGTTTGATGTTCTAAGAGTGATGAACGAGACGAAAGGGGTCTGATGTTATAAGAGTGATGAATGAGACGAAAGGAATCTGATATTCTAAGAGTGATGAATGAGACAAAAAGAGGCTCGATGCTCTGAGGTTGATGGCGTTCTGAGAATGAGAAATGGGAAGCCTAAAGGACAAAGAAAGCTTAATCCTACACACCTCTCCCCGCTCCAAGGACCAGAGACTAGAAGGAACCCGAGAAAGAAACAAGAAAAGACAAAACGGACCCTGGCAAACTAACCACCTATGACATCCCGTCCTTCTCTCCCATCTATCCCTCCAAACCAATGCAGGCCAAAAAAATATGTTATTTATGGTTTTGATTTTTTTTTAAATACATGAAGTTATAAAAAAAAAATAAAAAAAAAATTGTTGTACATCTTTGTGCAAGGAACATGAATATGGACGAAGCACAGAAATCCAGATTGCAAAATCGCATTGAAGTCCAAGTAGTCAAAGCAAGAGCAGATAGCACAATGGAACCGAGTAACCATCCATTTGAGAATGATACAGAAGAATCGTTAGTCAATGTCTAAGCCCAATCGGGCAACACCAACAGCATAACCCAATGTAGCTCTCTCTCTTGAATGGCGCCAGGCGCCCTACCTACTCTACAGCCTATCACTACGACTACAGCATGAAAGCAACCAGACAACTTGACGACCAACGAGTGATGACGTCAACACCAATGCCGACCTCCTCTCCACCAGGTACGTCTCTCTCTTCACCCTCACTCTCCCTTGTTATCCCACACAACGCCCTTCACCTCAGAAGAACCACCTTCGCCCTTCACCTCCTCTGTGCCCACAGGCAGCCCGGCTATGGCCGCCAGCGCCCTGCGCCCAGGCAGCACTCTACCGCTTAGCGCTTGCCTACCTTCCTCAGCGTAGCGCAACGCAACACACTTGCAACGCAGCAGCGTGCCGGCCTTGCTCGCAATGGTCAAGATCCCTGCCCACTCGCCCTCTCTGCCTATATGCCAGTGTTGCGTGTGGGCGGCCTCCCTTGAGCCTGCGCCTGGGCCCCAGTACTTGTACCCAGGCCCAATGTGGTTGGGGCCCATGCAGTACAGTTGTGCCTCTCTCATCCAGGCCTGCGTCCAGATTCAGGTAGTGGACCGGTTTCCCATTGGCATTTCCGGCCTCTATTTCCAGCATGCAATGTCGGCCTCACGTTTATGTGCCCAAGGCCTAACCAACTCACAAAGGCCCTGGTCCTTCCGCATTTGCAGAGATCCGGAACTCGGTGCACTCCAATCAACTGGCGTGCGGCAACTGTATGGACCCCACTTCGTGAAATGTTTGAACAGAGGGCTCTCGTTGATTTGCTGGCCCGCCTTCACTTAGGGTGGGCACGATGCTTGCTGGGGGCCTTGGCCCAGAACATGTACATCACGGCAAGGCCCCTATGAGGGCTCAATCCTCACATTCCATCCCCCTTAGCTTCGAAAGTCCGCTGAGATGCTTACTTCGCAGGTGCCTTCCCTTTTAACATCCTTTCATATTCTGCCACCACTTGAGGAGTTGTGTCAATCAGTTGCTCTCTGGTAAACCACCGATCTTCTTTTGGATCCGTATGATACCTGAATCTGACACGATACTCCCGCTTGGGTTTTGGAGGTCTTCCTCTACCTAGTGGCTTTGGAACAGGCAGATCTCTGTGATCCACAATGTCGTCGATGTCCACTTGACCATCCATGGTTGGGGGCAGCATCGATCTCCTTGAAGGGAATTGATCTGTCTCACCGAAAGCTGCAAGCTTTGAGGCATGAAAGACACGGTGAGTGCGCAGATGACCAGGGATACAGATAACATAGGTAGGACCATCCATCTCATCCCCAACTATATCCAAGACTTCCCATGGACCAAAATACTGAGGCATTAGTTTGCGAGAGATTTCGAATTCCTGTCCTACCTCACTAGCCTTCACCCAGACACGTTCCCCTACCTGAAATGAGGACTCCCGACGATGTTTGTTCTCAGAAGCAATCATTGCTTGCTCAACTTTCTTGATGTGTTCGACAACTTGCTGCAACAACTTCTCATACTGCACACCATACTCAAGTGTGCCCAAAGTTGCAGAGGATCGGTTTTCAGGTAGGAGGAAGTCAAGAGCTGATCTAGGCTTCCATCCCATGTGCAGCTGGTTAGGACTAACGCCGGTACTGCTGTGTACAACGTTGTTGTACAGGCTGGCGATGAGAGGCAACTTCTCATCCCAGTCATCCTGGTTGGGCTTGATGTAATGCCTCAGCAGGTGTTGCATAACTCTATTCATCTTCTCGGCCTGTCCGTTGGCTTCGAGATGATTCCCTAAAGTCATCTGAAGTTGACTGCCCATCTGCTCAACAGTCTTCTTCCACAGCTCACTTGTGAAGCGGACATCTCTGTCACTAACGATTGACTTTGGTAAACCAAAATCACGCACCCAGTTGTCCATGAACAACTTGATGACGTGGTCAGTCCTTGCGGTCTCTGGCATGACAATTAGTCTAGCGTATTTGGTGAATCGATCAATGATGACAAAGATGTGCCTCTTGCCACTCTTACTGGTCACCAGGGTGTCCATGAAGTCCATGGAAACACTCTGTCCTGGACCAGCAGGGATAGGTAAGGGCTTTAGCAACCCAAGCGGTGCTTGAGTTCGCGGCTTGTCCCGCTGACAGACCCGACAGGTCTCCACGTACTTCTTTCATCTTCTAACATTCCAGGCCACCAAAATTGCTGTACTAGATTAACACTCGTTTTTTTGTAACCAAAGTGTCCGGTTGCGTCATGACATTGTCCTAGAAATAAACTACGCAAACGTTCACTAGAAATAAACTATGCAAACGTTCACTAAATGGAACAACTAACCTCTTAAATTCGGCCTTATCGAGAAAGAGAAGCCCGTCCACCATCACAAACTCACTTTCCGTGGCCTTGTCTTTTGCCTCAAGTTTGCGTATGATGTCCATCGTGACAGGGTCTTCCTGATAGGCTCCCACCAGCGACTGAGTTAGTTCCTCAGATACACCAAAGTCAGAAACCAGCGCCCCTAGGTAATCTGCCCTACGTGATAGCGCATCTGCAACCTTGTTGTACTCTCCCTTCAGATACTCTAGCTTGAAGTCATATTGATCTATGACCTCAATCCATCGCTTGAGTGCATTAGAGAGAGCCGGTTGAGTCTTGATTCATTTGAGGGTTTGATGATCAGTTCTCAAATACAAGAACCGTCCCAATAGAAAGTGCCTCCAATGGACAAGTGCTTTGTAGAGAGCATAGAGTTCCCTTTCGTAGGTGGACTTCGCCAGTTTCTTTGATGGCATCTTTTTGCTCATGTACTCAATCGGTCTCAACTTTTTCCCATCCTGTTGAGCCAGCACTGCGCCAATGTCGTATTGGCTTGCGTCAGTGGTCACTATGAATGGCTTCTGAGGATCGGGCACCATAAGAACCTCATGATTCATGAGTGCATGATCCATCGTTTGAAAGCATCCTCGCACTCATCACTCCAGTCCCACGGCGTGTCAAGTCGAGTTAGATCAGTCAAAGGAGAGGCGACTGTAGAATAGTTCTTTACGAAGTTCCTATCGTAGCCGCACATTCCTAAGAAAGATCTGACCTCAGTAACAGTCTGAGGTCGTGGCCAATCCCGGATACTAGCCACTTTCGCATCTTCCGGCCTAATACCTTCCGCGGATACTTCATGACCCAAGTATAAGATCTTAGTGCGTCCAAACTCACATTTCTCTAGGTTGACCTTATACTTGTGCTGTTGCAGGAGTGAGAGTACAGTCTCAACGTGTTGTGCATGCTCCTCGACATACCTACTAAAGATAAGAATATCGTCAAGATAGACGACGACAAACTTATCTAAGTGATCATGGAAGATCCTATTCATGGCATGCTGGAATGTTCCCAGCGCATTGCAAAGGCCAAAGGGCATCACTACAAACTCATACAGTCCGTATCTGGTCTGAAAAGCAGTCTTGTGTTGATCCTCCGGTCTTATTGCGATCTGATGATAGCCAGACTTTAAGTCTATCTTGCTATAGTACTTACATCCCTGCACCCAATCCAATAGGTCGTCTATGTGAGGTAGAGGCTCTGCGTTTTTCACAGTAATGGCATTGAGGCCTCTATAGTCAATGCACATCCTCAAGGTACCCCCTTTCTTCGGTACAAATAGCACTGGAGATCCGTAGGGGGAAGTACTCGGCCGGATCCATCCCTTTTCTGTCAGCTCTTTCAGTTGTCGCCGGAGTTCATCCAACTTGGCCGGAGCCATCCTATAGATCCTTCCCTTTGGGGTCTTACTCCCTGGAATGATTTCTATGGCATGGATAACCTCCCTTTCTACGATTCCTATAGGCTCAGTGAACAGATCAGGGAACTTAGCAACGACGTGTTCTATCTCTGGGGTGTTTTAATGGTCGCCCCTTTCTCAGAGACATACACTAGCTACATACCCTCCTTTTGGTTCTGTTTATAGTAATTATAGAATGCTGATGCACACAAGCAGCCATTGGTATCGATTATACTACTGGCTTTGTACTTAGTCAGTCTCACTGTTCTCCCATTAGGCAACTTATGCTTTAGCACTTTTTTGTCCCAGTCAAACTGGGGCTTGGCAACCTCAAGGTAGTACATCCCTAACAAGATATCGAATGGTAAGTCGTCGCTAATCAGGAACAAAATCTTGTGATTAAGTTCCCGTCCTCCATAGGAGAAGGTGTAGACTACATCCTTGATATAGTCTGTGACAATCATGCGCTCCTTATTGGCCAAAGTAGATGCTACGGGTCTACTAAGGTGTTGTACCCGGTCCTGTAGGTGCAGCCTTTCCAAACAGTCGCGACTTATGTAGTTCCGCGTGGAGCCGATGTCTATGAAGGCACCACATTTGCGGCCTCCTACATCAACTTCCAGAACAAAATGTTCCCCTCTAGAACCTTCCTTAGTGCCACCCAAGATTCATGACGGTCCTTACTTGACCACTCACTTTCCAAATCTTCTAAGGCTTCAGAAACATCCAACGTACAGAGCATGGTTTGGTCTGGATGAGTCTGCAGGGTGACTAAAGAGTCATTAGCTATGACCTGCTCATGAAGTGGGGAGGGTATCAGGCCCACTTCACCTTGAGTAGAAGTAGCTAAAACTTCCACCGGCCTTACGTGTTTCCCGAGCTTGAAGCCTGGGGAGAAGGTGCCCCCATCTTAGGAGGTATCTTCTGCGTGACCTTTGCGTTCTTGCACTTGTACTGGGTGTGTCCGTATTCACCACAGTTGATGCAAGCACCACGCACTCTTCAGTTCCGCCACACTTCTTAATCAAGACCTGCCTTGGTCCAATCAGCAATTTTGGTCTGATTGGAGGCGGCCTGCCTTAGTCTTTACAACTGCGGCGAGGGTGCTACCCTCAGCGATCTCCTCGCCGTCGTACTCTGAATAGTCCAACAGGTCTGTGAGCTCTTCGATCTCTGTTTGAGTTCCATCGGACTCGACCATCATAAATTTGCTCCCCTTCTTGTTCCATTCTTGTGGACTCTTCTTCTTCCTTGCGTCAACTGAGGTAGGTTGAGCACTTCCTAGAGTGGCCTCTAAATCTAAGGCTTTTCTAGATAAGGTCTCAAATGAGTGATACTCGAGGCGAGCCTCGCTGGCCAGCAAATTTCTGAGATTCTCTGGGAGACATCTCACAAACGTGGTCAGCAAGAACTGGTCATCGTAGTTTATGCGAGGAACGACGATGAGGCTCTCTACGGTAGTCGTAAGCTCTCTGACTGACTTGAACTTTCTTTGGTCTAGTCTGTGCATCGCATCAGTGGCAATTTGTGCCTGTTGTGGATTGTGCCAACGAGCTATTACCCATTTCTAAGAACTGGTCTAACGTAATGGTCTTAGCCCAGTCCGCCATGCGTCGTCCGTACCCGGCCTTTGAGACTAAACCATCCAGCCATTTGGCTGCCTTACCCTCAAGGTAAGATGCACCAGTTATCACCTCCTCCTCCTGCAAAGTCCTCTTCGCCTTTACCACACTGGAACCGTTCTCAACCATGTGTTGAGTTCCTCATCCTTCTTCTCTCCGGAGAAGGCAAGGGGCGGTCTTTGGGTACCATCGACCTTGCTGCTGTCCCTGTTGAGGAACAGGTTGTTGCGGTGATGGTGTAGCAACCACCGCTGACCCAGAAGAAGAAGAAGCAACAGTCTGTGCGGCTGCTGCAGACGTACCACTTGGCTGCGTGCCAGCTTGCACTGGAAAGGGGCCTGACATCGCCGTTAACGGCAACGGCGACTGTGCTGCTGACCGGAATCCTGGCCTTTGCAAAAGGTCCAAGATCTGGTCCAGAGAGTTCTGCATGAAGTCCACTCTACTATCCACATGCGCATGCAGCGACAGCATACTGTTCTTCAACACTTTCATTTGGTCAGACATGGTTGACTCATCTAAACCCTCTAATGCAGCTTTGTCTGCCTCTAACGTATCAAGCCTGGCTGTTCTATTTTTAATCTCTCTTTCTCTATCGGTTGCTTGCTTCAATTCCCTCTCTAACCGCTCGCGGATCCTTTCGACCTGTTGGAGCTCTAGGAGCTCCCTACCGCGTGGGGTCAACGGGCTTAACTGCGAGCCCGCCATTTTACTAAAACCTATTGATCCGGAAGTACCCGTGGACCCTGAGGGCATTTCCAACGGGGTCCCTGACGAGGATGCATCAGAGGCTGCGCCGTTAGCCATTGCTGCTGCCCTTGCTGTTCAACTTGTCATCTTGCCATGTTTTCCCTAGTCACGTCCTCGCCTTGTCCTCTCTTGCACCTGGTGTTGTTCCGGTTCTTCATTGGCTGTTCAACTTGTCACTTTGATGTGTTTTCCCTAGTCACGCCCTTGCCTTGTCCTCTCTTGCACCTGGTGTTGGTCCGGTTCTTCATTGGCTGTTCAACTTGTCACTTTGCTGTGTTTTTCCTAGTCACACTCATGGTTTGTTCATTCTTGCTCTTGGCCTTAGTCCGGTTCTTCATTTGCTGTTCAACCTGTCTCTTTGGTGTGTTTTTCCTAGTCACATTCATGGTCTGTTTATTCTTGCACTTGCTGTTAGTCTGATTCGTCATTTGCGGTTCAACTTGTAACTTTGTTATGTCACACCCATGCTTTGCCCCTTCTTGCACTTGGTATTAGTCCGGTTCTTCCTTTGCTGTTCAAATTGTCACTTTGCTGACTTTTTCCTAGTCACACTCATGTTTTGTCCACTCTTGCTCTTGTTGTTAGTCCGGTTCTTCATTTGCTGTTCAAATTGTCATCTCGCCGTGTTTCCCTAGTTACGCCCTTGCCTTGTCCTTTCTTACACCTGGTGTTAGTCCGGTGTCGGGACTGGTGAGTCCCAAATAACTTCCCATCACTCGAGAGACCGAATATGGACGATCTGTGCACAACAGAGAAATCCGAAGTAAGACGAGATAAAGGCTTAGGCTGCAGGAGGGAATAATGCCCTAGGGCGAGAACCACAGGGGGAAAGAACTAAGCGGCGGCAAGCGAGCGAGCGCAAGAACAGGGGCACATAGAACATAGCAGGAGGCCGGGAGGGTCATCGGAATGCAATAAGACTACGGCCAAAGGGCCCTTTGAACTAGCAATTGCAGCGCGGCAGCAATAAGGGAATGAGGAAGTCGAGGGATGGGCGGCCAGAAGCCGCGGGAAGCCCGGAAATGAGGGGCCAACGTGGGGGGCCACCTACGGGAGCCCGGAACGAAGGCCCACGACCAAAGAGATCAACACGCACAAGGCGNGGAAATGAGGGGCCAACGTGGGGGGCCACCTACGGGAGCCCGGAACGAAGGCCCACGACCAAAGAGATCAACACGCACAAGGCGCAAGGGAAAACTAAGGAGAGGGGTCGGTATGGGGCAACAAGACGCCCAAGGGGCATGGGACACCGAGGGGAAAGGCACCCGGGACCACGTGGCACTAAGTAAAAATAATGGCATCCGGGGCGAAAAGTGTCAGGGACCGCCGACGGGACTAAGTGTCGGGGGCCGCCGACGGGACTAAGTGTCGGGGACCACCGGCGGGACTAAGTGTCGGGAACCACCAACGGGAAAGCGGCGGGGACATGTGAAAGTCCCAAGAAGAAACGGCGGCACCGCATGAGGGAAAAATAATAAATGCAAGGTGCACCGTCAAGATCGACATCTTGACGGCCAAGAATATTAGCATCACTAGTGCAAGTACTAGTGGTGACAAACGGGAAGGCCAAAAGGAAAAGGAAAAGTAAAGAAAACTGAAGTGGGAGGCATGGGAGCAATCCGAAAAATCTCAGCCTCCCTCAAGAAAATAGAGTCAAATAAAACCCTATGTGAAAAATAGCCCTCCGGGAGAAAATTGGAGTAGGAGGGACCATTGTGGGAGAAATGTAGGAGTAAAAGGAGGCTCCCATGGGCATGGGAAGGCAATTATTGCAGTCCGAGAAATAACGGACTGGACCTTGGGCATAGGGAGGGCCAAAACTAAGAGGAACAGACTAGAAAAGGGCCTTAACGGTCACTTGACACTTGGCATGCTAGAAAAAAGAGAGAAAAGAAAAGAAAATTGGGGAGAATAAGACAAAAAGAATGAAGAGGGAGTGAGTGAGTTAGCCGTCAGTAGGGACTGCCATAGGTAGGGACTGGCAGGTCCTTACTGTCCAAGAAAGGATGAAAAAAAAAAAAAAAAAAAAAAAAAAAAAAAAAAAAAAAAAAAAAAAAAAAAAAAAAAAAAAAA